GTGGTGCTGGGGGATTGAACCGCAGTCCCTGATGCCTTGCCAAGCTTGTTCTAAGTAGGTGCTTTAGACCACTGAGCCATCTCTCCAGCCCCAAGCTTCCACTTTTGATATCTTCAACTTATGATGAATTTTTGGGAATGTAAATCTATAGCCAAAGAGCTTCTATACGGGTTCTAGAATATCATTTTCTCCAGTACTGGAGGTTGAACCCAGGGGGGCTCTACCACTGAACCACATGCCCAGCCCTTTTTGAGACTTAATTTCAAGAAGCTACCAATTTCCCTGTGGCTCCTATTCAGGACCCTGATGCCTCAGGTCTGTGCCACCACCAGGCTTTTCTTTTCCTTCTTTTTTTTTTTTCTTGTAATGGGAATTGAACTCAGGCCCTTGCACTTGCCAGGCAAGTGCTTATTCTACTGAGCTATCTCTCCAGCCCCCCTTTTTTTCAAACAAGCTCTCCCTACCAAGCCCAGGCTGGCCTTGAGCTGGCAATCCTGCTGCCTCAGCCTCCCCAGTGCTAGCACTGCAGGTGTGTACCCATCACAATGGCTGGCTGAAACTTGCCTATTTTTTTTTAATTTATTTATTTATCTATTTATTTATGTATTGCGGAATGGGGATTGAACTCGGGCCCTTGTGCTTGCCAGGGAAGCGCTTATTCCACTGAGTCATCTCCCCGGCCCCAAAACTACCTATTTTAAGCCTTATGAAATTTTATGTATGTACCCCATGGCCTTACACTTGTTCAGTAAGTTCCTTATGTCTGAGCTGCACCCCCAGCCCCCCAAATACTTTGGGTTTTTTTTGTTTTGTTTTGTTTTTTTGTGGAACTGGGAATTGAACTCAGGCCCTTGTGCTTGCCAGGTAAGCGCTTATTCTACTGAGCTATCTCCACAGCCCCTACCCCCCAAATACTTTGCAATGAGTAAAATGCTCAAAAATGGCCATGGCCCTGGAAGGCACAGAACTGCTGGGACACCAGAAGGCCACCCTGGGCCCTGAGTGCATGGCACCCTCAACCCCTCTGCCTGCAGTGCAAGGAGGAAGTGGGGGGCACCCTGGATGCTGTTCAGCTGCTCGCCGGGGTCACCCAGCTGGTGCCCAAGTCCCGCGAGAACTACCTGAGCCGCTGCGTGGACCTGGAGCGGCTGCGCCGGGAGAACCCCAGCCAGAAGGAGGTGGACAAGGTCGGTGCTCTGCAGCGGCTGGGGCTGCTGCCTGAGTGACAGGCGTCACACAGGGAGGCCACCTGGAGTCCCTGGCTGGTAACAAAGCTAAGTGACCCGTGTCTCCTAGGCGGAAACCAAAGCCAAGAAGGCAGCCGAGAGCCTGCAGCGCTCCGTGGAGAAGTACAACTCGGCCCGGGCTGACTTCGAGCAGAAGATGCTGGACTCCGCACTGGTGAGGACTGGGTGCAGGTGACCGGGGACTGACGTGTCCCGGCCCAAGCTGCCGCGAGCCCTCAGAGCCCAGAGATGTAAACCCCCACCCTAGACCCCTCTGACCACAGGGTGCCCGCCTGCTGCTGCTGTTGACATATGTCAGACGCCAAGTCGGGCAGTGCCTCAGTTTCCCCCTTTGCAAAATGGAGATGATGAGAGCACCTGCCTTGTAGAGCTGTGAAAATTAGATGAGTCACACTGTGAAGGTCTCAGGCTTAGTACCAGGCTCACGGACACCACCCATGTGCCACTTTATTTCTATTATTCTTGAGATTTTTGAACAAGGCAGGACAGAGCTTAGAAGCGGAGAGCCTCCTGACTTTCTTGGCCGCAGAGAGGCCTGAGTTCCCGTCCAGCCTCCAGCCTCATGGCCGGGTGAGCTTTCACAACGCGCTGTGTCTGGGAGCCTCTGTCCCCCGCGTGTGCAACATGCAGATCAGAATCTCAGCATTAAGAATCAAAACTTTTTTTAAGCTGCAAGTGACTGAGACCTTTATTTAAACTGGCAGATTTATAGGCTCAGTGAACTGAAAAGTTTTTTTAGGGGACCGGAGAGCTTTCAGGCACGGTTGGGCCCAGGTGCTCAAGTGGTGTCGCAGGAAGTTCTACGTCTGCCTGTGTAGTCTGTTTTCCTTCCTGGGGACCTTCACTACCTGCCTGACGTCACACGAGCGTGTGTGTGTGTGTGTGAAGATGGAAGCCAGTGGGCACCAGCAGCCTACATTTAATCCCAACAACTCCTAACCCCAGAAATTAGTGCCTGTCTTCTCCTCGAGCAAAAATCCGAGGACAGAATTTTATTGGCTCTTCCCCAAATCAGTCACTACAACTAGGGACTTGAGATGTTCCGATTGGTTGGGCTGGGTTCCCCCCCCCATGATCCGCCTCCCTAGCCCAGCCGCCCAACCACCCCCCACCTCCGTAGCGCTTCCAAGCCATGGAGGAGACCCACCTGCGGCACATGAAGGCGCTGCTGGGCTCCTACGCCCACTCCGTGGAGGACACGCACGTGCAGATCGGGCAGGTGAGGCCGGTGGGGGGGCCAGCATGAGCTGGAGGCCGGGCACAGAATGTGTAAGTGACCCCCCAACCTGCCCCAGGTGCACGAGGAGTTCAAACAGAACATCGAGAACGTCAGCGTGGACATGCTGCTCCGGAAGTTTGCTGAGAGCAAAGGCACTGGCCGCGAGAAGCCAGGTGAGCGAGCGGCAGGCCCTCCGCAGGCCCTGTTGCTTCAGCAGATACGCGGGCTGGGCTGCAGCTCGGGGCTGAGCGCGTACCAAGAGCTGGGAGGCCCTGGGTTCGGTTCCCAGCACCAGAAAAAGACGTGAGCTGGCGGCAGTTCCAACTCTCCAGCCCGCACAGGGAAAGGGCCGCATGCCGGATCCCCCCGTGAATCCTAGAACCAGACCCCCAAGGCCCTTTAAAGCCGGACACCTGTGTCCCTGCTGCACAGTGCCCAAGGAGCCACTGCCGGTTGTTGTGTCAAAACCCAGTTGGAGGGTGTGGAGTGAGATGCAGGGACTGAAAGGAACTGGGCACGAACATTGTGGAGTTAGGTCTGGACCTGTGCCCTCTCTTCCTTGCTTGCTGTGTGACCTGGGATGTTTTTATTGGCTTCTCTGGGCCTCAGTGCAAAAGAGTGATTTGAGGCGGGCTAAGGCAACCGCTCAGGTGCCTCTCCGGTGCGGCCCGCCTGCAGGCAGAAAGGCTGCAGGCAGAAATGCGGCGGGCTGCGCCGCCCAGCCAGGATCACACCTAGCAACTGCCGGCTCCACCCCACCCACCGCCAGCTTTTGCCTGGCACCCCAACGTCCCAGAGCCTAGCTGCAGGAGCCCTGTGTGGCTAGCAATTGGCACCGCCAAGCGTAGCCCTCCTGGGCTCACATGCATCTCCGCCCCGTCTCAGGGCCCCTGGACTTCGAGGCATACAGTGCAGCCACCCTGCAGGAAGGCAAGTACGTCTGGGCCTGGCTGCCCAGGCTGGACCCCGAGGACGAAGGAAGGGGCAGAAGGGCCGAGGCCCCATCCAGGGCTCAGCTGCCCCCCTCTGTCCTCAGCAATGAAGCGACTGCGGGGAGCCAAGGCCTTTCGCCTGCCAGGACTAAGCCGGAGGGATCGGGAACCTCGTGCACCTGCGTAAGGACACACCCCACCTGGCCCTGGCCAGGCGGGTGTCCGAGCCCACACGTGGGGCATCCCTGTGCCTGCTAGCCTGGGGTACCCCACCTGCGCTAGACCAGGGCCCCTGCTGACCCGGGCTAGTCCACTGGCCACACAAACCTGGGCTTCTCCAGACCAGTCCTAGCCCGGATTTGGCCACGAGTAGCCCAGCTGGGCTGGCCCAGAAAGGGTTCCTGGCTGAAGCTGGCCCCAGGCAGCCCCAGCTTCCTTCCCCGTCTTCCCACAAGCCCCACCCCCACACACCCCGAAGCTAGGACAGTACCACAGTAGCCCCGACTCCGTGTCGGGGGTCTCCCTGAGCAGGGGGTACCCGATGCGCTAGAGGAGCTGATGCTAAGATCTCTTCCTCCGTGCCCAGAGATTTCCTCGAGCCTGATTCAGGGGTGAGCGCTGCGGGCTGGGCTGGGCCGGGCTGTGGGCGGGGGCGGTTGGGCCCCACCACCCTCGTAGCAGAGCTGGGGGCTGGGTCCAAGTCCCACGTGGGCCACACGCACCTGCCACCCCACGGGAGGCCCGGAGATCCCTGCAGAGCCCCAGTTTGCCCCCAAAGATCCCCTCCTATACGTTCTTTCGGGCAGGTGGGTAGTTAGCTGGGGGTCAGGGCTCCAGGCGCCTGCATGTGTGTGCGTGCGGGTATGTGCAAGCAGGTGTGCGTGTCAGAAGGCTCGTGGCTGCAGCCTCATTGCCTCTGCTCTCCTCCAGATGTGTCCAGAGGTAGATGAAGAAGGTTTCACAGTCCGGCCGGACGTGAGCCAGAACAATATCCTTTGGGCGCCCTCTAGAGGCCACTACTAGCTCCCCAAGGACAAAGCTCTCTCAAACGACCCAGTCTACTGTTGCGAACATCCGCCCAGGGGTTCAGGGATGGGCAAGAGGGAAAGAAGGGATTGTACTGCCCCTGAGGGAAAGTCCAGAGGGCTTCCTGGATGGAGGGGCACCTTGTTGAGGTTTAGCTGCTGAATAAGAGTTTGCCAAGTAGCGTGGCAACTGGTAAAGACTTGGAGGGTTTGGGCAGGGAGCTTCATGACTGGACTTGACCAACTGGAGGGAAGCCCGCGTTGGGATCCGCTTGGCTCCTTGACAGAGGCCCACGCACGGCCGAGCCGTCTCGCTTTTCATCCAGTGACTCCGACTTCGATGACGAGGAGCCTAGAAAGTTCTACGTGCACATCAAGCCCGCCCCGGCTCGGGCCCCGGCCTGCAGCTCGGAGGCGGCGGCGGCGGCGCAGCTCCGGGCCACCGCCGGCAGCCTCAGCCTCCCTCCGGGCCCAGGGGTGAGGTGTGGGAAGGGCGGAGGGGGGGACCGCGCTCGCCGCGCCCTGCCTGCAGCCCGCGCCTCTCCACAGGGCACCATGAAGCGCCACTCGGCCCGCGACACAGCCGGGAGACCACAGCGGCCCCGCTCGGCCCCACGCACCACCAGGTGGGTCCCGCGCGACGGGCGGAGCTGGCGCGGTGGGCCCTCGCGTGCCGCGTTCCACCGGGCTTCTCTGCCCCGACGGGAGCTGAGGTGGTGCTGCTGGCGAGGGGCGCCTAGGCACCTGCACGCCATCTGCCTGGCACCTGCGCAGTGACAGCCTGCATCAGGAAACAAGCAAAAAGCATAGCAAAAGAGTGAGAGGGCTGGGCAGGACGGAGAGCAGGCCACTGGGCTGACAGAGGGCTGGCCTCACTGGGTGACGGCGGGGGCGCCCCAGGGGGTGGCTTGGAGCTGAGCCCGGATGAGGCCGGGAAGTTCCAGGGAAAGCGCAGTGCCTCAGAGAGCAGGGCAGGAACCGGCGGCGGCTGCGGGAACAGCGCCGGCACCGCCCCCTCTGCCTCGCAGCTGCGCCGAGAAGCTGCCGCCCTCTGAGGAGCAGGTGTCCAAGAGCCTCTTCGGGCCGCCCCTGGAGTCAGCCTTTGACCACGAGGACTTCACAGGTGGAGTAGGGCTGTGGGCCGGCGTGGCCAATGGGAGGTGGGGCGGGGGCGGGGCCAAGGAGGGCCAAACCAGGTGGGAGGAGCCAATCAGGAGCTAGATGGCTGTGGGATCGGAGAGAAGGGGTGGGGCTATTCATGAGTGGGCGGAGCCACAGAGGGCTGAAGCCCTTGATAAAGTTCAAGAGACCACGGCTGAGGGAGTGGAGCTACAAAGATTGGTGGTCCTTTATGGAGTGGATGGGAGCAGAAGAGTTTGATGGAATGGGAGGCCATCTTGTAGGTGGGCGGGGCTAGAGGGTGGCGATCTATACTTGGGTGGGCGGGGCTGTAGGTGGAGCCCACAAGGAACGAGTTGTGGGTACCGCCTGCTGGGTGGCAGTGGCCGGGCTGAGTACCCTTCCTCTCCCCTAGGCTCCAGCAGCCTGGGCTTTACCTCCAGCCCCTCCCCCTTCTCCTCCTCCTCACCGGAGAACGTGGAGGACTCTGGTTTGGACTCTCCATCCCATGTAGCTACTGGCCCCTCCCCAGATTCCTGGGTCCCCCACCCCAGCACCCCACAAAGCCCACCCAGCTGTAGGGCGCAGCCCCCGGACTCCAGGGCAGCCAAGGTCCCACCACCACCAGACTCACCGCAACCCCTGGCACCATCACCAGGACCGTGGGGGCTGGAGGCGGGAGGAGGTGAGTGCAGCTTGTGGCTGGGAGAGTGGGGTGTGATGACTGAGGGCCGCTTGGGAGCCTAGCTTACAGCTGCCTCCTAGGCAAGGAACATCGGAGCTGGCTAGGCTAAGACTCCGCCACCAGAACCTCCTGTAGTGCACCCACCTCCTAAGCCACCACCCCATACTTGCATACCACCAGTGACAGGGAGCTTACCCCTTAACAGGCCAGCAATTGGATATCTGAGACCTTCAGGAGTGTGGCCATGGTCTATAGAACCCCACATCACAGGACATCCCAAAACCACCCCTCCTCAGTCCCCGGCTGAGTTCCTGCCCCCAGGAAGGTCACAGGGCCCTGGGCAGCATCTCAGAAACACCCGTTTTCTCAACTTGTGCCCCAGAACTGACACCCACAGATTCCATAGCCAGGGAGGCCCTGGCAGCCCCACCCCGGAGACCACGCTCCAGGAAGGTGTCCTGTCCCCTCACCCGAAGCAACGGCGACCTGGTAGGTCTTGGGGCACAGAGACCTGGGCTGGAGGTGGCCTCCAGGTCAGCTTTCAGCACAGCTGCCAGCCCTGCCGCCTTGCTTCCCCACAGTCCCGGTCTCTGAGCCCCTCCCCGCTGGGCTCCTCAGCCCCTAGCACGGCCCTGGACCGGCCACACTTCTCATCCCAGACTGCACACGGTATGTGGGGCTGCTGTCCCCTGCCTCGGTTTATCCTCCTCTGGCCTGGTGGGTAACTAAGGGACAGGAAGGAGGCCGTGCAGTGGGGTGGAGCCTATAGCCTAGTTCGCTCTCTGCATCTAATCGCCTTCTTCCCCGCCAACCCCAGGAGTCTCCAGAGGCCCCAGCCCTGTAGTCCTGGGCTCCCAGGACGCGCTGCCTGTGGCCACTGCCTTCACCGAGTATGTCCATGCCTACTTCCGTGGCCACAGCCCTAGGTATGCCGAAGTCGGCTTGACCTCCCTGAGGTTGCATCCAAACTACAAAGAAGGAGACAGTGTTAAACCCAAAACCCAAGCTAGGAACTATTTTTTAAAAAAAGAAAGAAAGAGAACCACTCTATTTTGAGCTTCCTGGTGACCGAGAAGAAAAGGGAACTAGGGCAGGGCATATTCAGGCCTCCTTTAGCCTTTTTCTGTCCAAGCAGAGATGAAAGGAGATTGGGGAAGGACCCAGGGCATGACTGGGCTCTTGCTGCATACTGAAACCTGGAAAGCCCCCGCGTCTGTAGTGGACCCTAGAGAAGGCAGGACGTAGGCCCAGGCAGAGCCCTGACCTAACAGCAATCTGCCCTGCCCCCAGCTGTGTGGCTCGGGTCACTGGAGAGCTGACCATGACCTTCCCAGCCGGCATTGTGCGGGTCTTCAGCGGGACCCCGCCTCCACCTGTGCTCAGCTTCCGGCTCATCCACACGACTGGCATTGAGCACTTCCAGCCCAACGCGGACCTGCTCTTCAGGTGCTGTGCCCCTTGGGGCTTGCTGTGTGACCTGGGGCAAGTTGCCGGCCCTCTCTGAACCTTGCTTTACCCACCTTCACGCTCTCACCTGGAGGCTTAGCTAAACCCAGGGTACCCTGAGAAATCACACTTTTAGGAAGCCCTGGGAGGGCGTGTCTGAGTTTGGGATGATGAGAGCTTGTCTCTGCAGTGACCCATCCCAGAGCGACCCAGAAACCAAAGACTTCTGGCTCAACATGGCCGCTCTGACTGAGGCCCTGCAGCGCCAGGCAGAGCAGAACCCCACGGCCTCCTACTACAACGTGGTGCTGCTGCGATACCAGGTTGGTCATGTGTGAGGGGCAGGGAAGGGATGCAGCCAGCAATGACAGCAGGTGGCAGAAACGACCAATGAGGTCAGGTTGCAGAAACTCAGACAACCAATGAGAGTAGCCATCAGAAAAGCAGGCAGCCAATGAGAGCCATGTGTGGGTGGGCATGAATGGTAAACTGGTAGAGAGTGTTACAGACCCAGCACCTATTGGTACAGAGGGCGCTGTTATGCAAATTAATCTCGAATCTGCACCTGTCGGCAGGTTTAGACTGATACGCTCTCCTGCCCTCTGCTGGAGACGTTGTGTAACGACACTCCATGAATTCTGCCTTTTCAACAATGGGCATGCACGCGTGCCAGGCGTGCGTCGTTTCACTGCGGGCTGGGGCTGGGGTGGCCGCGAGGGTGGGGTGGTTGCACACAGCACGTGGTGACCCCAGCCAAGTCCCACTTCCTGGCCTGTCCCCCCAGTTCTCCCGCCCGGGCCCCCAGGCGCTTCCTCTGCAGCTGCGTGCGCACTGGCAGTGCGGGGCGGCACTCACGCAGGTGACAGTGGAGTACAGCTACCGTTCCGGCGCCACGGCTGTGCCCACGCCGCTCTCCAACGTCCACATCCTGCTGCCCGTGGGAGAGCCCGTCACCAATGTGCGCCTACAGCCCGCTGCTACCTGGTGAGGGCGGCCAGCGGTGCCTGTGCACACCCTACCCCCTCTCGTCCAGGGTGAGGCCAGGCTGGGAAGTGGGGTGTTGGAGCTGGGTCCCGGGTCCCTGGATCCTCTGACCAAGCTCCTCCTGTGTCAGGAGCCTGGATGAAAAACGATTCACGTGGAAGCTTCCAGATGTGTCGGAGGCAGGGGGTGAGTGAGAGCTGGGGGCAGAGGTGGCCCTCAGGTGCAGGGCACTTGGAAACTGGGGACGAGCCGGGTGTGTGCTGGGGGAGGTTGCCACGATAAATATGGGAGGAACCCAGCGTAATGATCCATAATCCAGAGGGTGAGGCAGCAGGACCCCAAATTCAAGACCAGTTTGGGCAATTTAGCAAGGCCCTGTTTCAAAATAGATTTAAAAACCTAGCATGGTGGCACATGCCTGTAATCCCAGAACTCAGGAGGCTGAGGCAAGAGGATTGCTGCAAGTTTGAGCCCAGCCTGGGGTACCAAGTGAGCTCAAGCCTAGCCTGAAGTACAGGGAGGCACCCTGTCTCTAAAAAAAAATAAATAGATTTTTAAAAAAGAGAGGGTTGGCATATACCTGGGGGCACACCACCGGCTGGGCATGTGGGATTGGCATATACCTGGGGGCACACCACCGGCTGGGCATGTGGGATGCCCTGGGTTTGAAGTCTCAATACAAAAACAGAAAATCTGGGAGGAGCTGGGGGAAGGTGCAAAGGTCCTGTGGCAGGACTGCGTGGGAGAACATGCGATGCCCGGTGGGCTAGAAGAAGGTCCAGGAGTCGGTGGGGCACAGGGAGGCCACAGGCCCAAGGGCGGCCTCGGGTTCTGCCTGGGCCAGGCCGGCCACGTCTGATCCCGGCCTTCCTAGGCTCCGGCCGCCTCTCTGCTAGCTGGGAGCCACTGTCAGGGCCCAGCACTCCCAGCCCTGTTGCTGCACAGTTCATGAGTGAAGGGGTCACGCTGTCGGGCGTCGACGTGGAGCTGGTGGGCGGCGGCTACCGCATGTCCCTGGTGAAGAGGAGGTTCGCCACAGGTAGTCCGCCCTCCCAGGAACCCCAGAACCGCAGAGCCCAAGCCAGCTTCTACCAGGGCGCAGGAAGGAACTTGCCTGGGGAACACAGGGGACCAAGATGGAGTACAGGCCCAGTAGAAAGCTCCTGGGCAGAACTGAGACCAAAGGGAGGAGGCCAGGAGCGAAGGACCTGCCATGGGAGGGAGGCAGGAGCAGGGTCAAGACCCCACGCCCTGAGTTCCGGGACACCGAGGAACGTAGGAGAGGGAAGCTAGGGCACCCCTCACTGGCTCGCTGTCCCCCAGGGATGTACCTCGTGAGCTGCTGAGCGTCGTCCCAGCTCCACGCTGAATCCTGGTGCTCACGGACCGGACGCAGGGTCCCGCTGTCCCAGGGGATCCATGGAGAGGAGCTGCCCGCCCCACACCACGTTGGCAGAACGAGATCGCTCCTCTCCCTCATGCCAACCCCACGCAGGTCCCGGCCTTTTAATGTTCTTTGAATAAACACTTTATTTTCTAACAAAATAAAAAAGGAAAACTTGTCCTGCATTAGTGCGTGTCCTTCGTCCACGCTGCTGGGCAGCGGGGTCTACTAAACCCAAGCGTGTGTTTCGCTCGGTGCTCCCAGGGCCCTGCTGGGGCTCAGAGCCGGGTGGAAGGACGTGAGGACAGGCCTGGGAGGGTCCTAAGGAGCGCGTCACACGAGGATGCTTGCAGCCCAGCACGGTGGCCACGCACCTGTGCTCCCCGCACTGAGAAGGCTGAGGAGTGGGGGATCCTTTCGAGTTCAAGGCCAGCCAGGGTTACACAGAGAGACCTTGTGTCAAATACCACCACCCCAAAATAGCTGAGGGATCTCGGATGTGCCTCACCCATGGGCGCAGTAATGGCAGAATGCAAATCGCTTCCGTACTTCCTGGTTGATAGGTGGCCCCCAAGACTGCTGCTGGGCAAAGGCCGATCTGCAGGTAAACGGGAATGGGCCTGGCTTACTGTGTCCAGTGAAAAGAGAAAAACTAAAGTGGGCTTAAAAAAAATGATAAATAAAAATAAAATAAATAAAAACCAAGTGGGCTTGAGTGACTTTTGGTCTGTAAGTCAGTTTGGTTTTGGTTTTGGTTGGGTTTTTTCTCCTTCTTTTTGATCTTTTCAAAACAGGGTCTCGCTATGCAGCTCAGGCTGGTCTTGAGCTTACTTTGTAGCCCAGACTGGTCACGAACTCACAACAATCTTCCTGCCTCAGCCTCCAAGTGCTGGGATTACAGGCATGGGCCACCGCTAGGATCTGAAGGGGATAGAAGTACATGCAGCACAGCAGACCAGAAGTGGCCTGGTGACCACACGGACAGCAAGCCCAGGTGGCCTCGGTGGTGTCTGCACCCTGCTGGGCCCCAGGGCTTGCAGATAGGAACAGAGCCTGGGCCTCCCAGGGCAGGAAGTGGGACCCATCTGGGGACAGGCCTGGTTCAGGAGTGGTATGTCATCCCGTGGTGTCCCCCACCCACCCTACACTCAGGGTCATTTACTGAACAGATCCCGAGGCCATTTATTTGGGTAAAGAGGACAAAGGATTTCTTCAATGATGGCTCTGGGGCATGGAGCTCCTGTCACCTCAGTCACCATCTCCTGGGTTCAGAGTTTCTGGGATCCTTTCTAGTTAGGAACAGAGGCAGTGAGGTAGCCCCCCATGCTGGCCTTGTCGTCTCCCCTATCCTATAGCAAGAGAACTGGGCTCTGGGCTTCCACATCTGCATATTCTGTCCTTTATCTCTAAGAGAAACAAATGCCCAACCTTTTTAAAGTTCCTTTTTTTTAATACTGTCTCAGCCTCCCCAGCCCTGGGATTGCAGAATGTGCCACCACACCCAGTTCTGGGGCCAGCACAGCACATGGTACTGGGGATCAAACTTGGGACCTTGTGCTTGCCAGGCAGGCGCTTATGCCAAGTTATCTCCCCAGCCCTAAAGGTCCATCCTCCCCCCACCCCTGTACCAAGGATTGAACTCAGGACCCTGCGCTTACCAAGCAGGCACTTATTCTACTGAGCTATCTCTCCAGCCCCATAAAGTTCCATTCTTTAAGCTGAGCATAGTGGTGCACGCCTGTTATCCCAAGCACTCTGGAGGTTGAGGCAGGAGGATCCTCGAGAGTTTGAAGCCACCATGGCTCAAAAAATAAAGTTCCCTTTCAAGCTGCCAGTTACACCGCAATCTCCCACCCTGATCCTCAAGAACAGCATTCCATCCCGGGAGCTCCCTAAAGGGGTGGGCTCCCACCCTGACCCTGCTGGCAGCTTACCGCTTCCCTCTCTCAGGCACAGGAAAAGAATTTTCAGGGTGCTCAGTTGAGGCCCAAGCCAGGGCCCTCTGGGCGGGCAAAGTGGCATTAGAGGCTGAGGGGACGGTTCTGTTTCCAGCAGTGAGAACCCAAGGAATCTACGAAGCTAGAGGGAGTGTGGGCTGGGTTTGCAGGAGAAAAGCAGTGGCCCTGTGGGGCACAGGCCTGAGGAGGACAGCCCAAGTCACAGGTCCAGAGGTGGCCAGGTTCCAGGAGAAAGCAGGTCTATTGTGGGGGTTTTTTTAGAAAGATGATCTAAGATGTTTTGCCTAAGAACACTGTTTGAACTCTGATTCTGCGTCTTTCTGCTAGGCTTGCGCTTCCTAATTTGTGGATTTCTGGTCTCTTTGGAGAATCGGGGGTGGGGTACGCCTGGATGAAGAGGAGGGCAAATGCACTAAAGCATGGCTGTCAGTCACCTTGGGCAACTTGGCGTTCTGAAGTTGTAGTCCTGAAAATACAACTCAGAATTAGAGTTTGCCTTGTCTCCTTTCTGCCTACTTGCGTCTCCTGTCCGGCCTTAGAAGAGATCACACTGTCCCATCAAACTCCTACTCTTATTTCAAAACCCATTTACAATGCCACCTCCTCTTCCTCACTGGCATCTCCCTCCAGGCTCCTCAAGTTCCCAGAAATGAAGGGCCCGGTAGAGGGAGGTCTGCAGACATGGCTGACCTCCAGAAAGCTCCGGATCAACACGAGGCCCCGTGGGAAAGTGGCGATTGCAGGGCCTGGGCTCAGCGGGGCTGCTCCAGGCCAGGCCTCGCGGGCTTGCGCTTTCCTGAGATGAACAGCGGAGCCATGAGGCTGGCTGACCTGGGCGCCCGGCTTTCCCCAAAAGGACTCAGTTCTCGGTGAATCCCAGAGCCCGCGGCCAGCCGGGGCCCCTGGGTTTCCTGGTTTGTGGCTTCAAAAAGGGCAAGGCCGCCCCAGGTGGGGACGGCCGGGTCCTCAGAGCCTGGAGCACGGCCCCTCCCCGCAGAGCTTGGCACACACAAGCATGAGCAGCCGCGACGTGGCAGAAGCGCTGTGGGGCCCTGCCCAAGGGTCACAGCCGCCCCCAGCACCTGCTTTATCTCCCCAGGCTGGGCGCTGTGCGGGGCAGGGCAGGAGCCTAGCACCCCTTGGCGGCTTTCGTTTGCAGAATGCTGGTGTGCCTGGCTGCTTGTTGGGGGGTGACTTCCTGACCCCAGGTGGAATAGGCTCCTATCTCCCCAGGTGGGGCCCATTTAACCCTGCCGGGTAGATGCCTGTGAATGATGCCCCGCCCCCCTCTGGGGCCCCAAAATCCCAGCTCTGGTGCAGAGCAGTCAACAGCTGAGTTGAGTTCCTGGCCTACTCAGATTGCTGGGTTGTTTTTTTAAGGGAAAAATCACACAAATTAATCGCTTAAAGGGGGCTTCTGGACACAGGGTAGCACAAGCACCAGGTTGAGGTGGGGGACACACACGGTGGCACAGGCCTGTGACGTATAAAGTGGTACAAACACCACTTCGTCTTTGCTTCCGGGACATTTGCAAACCCACACCCCTAATAGCCTACTTGTCCCTGTGAAGCACTCCTCGCTGCCCCCTCCCTAAGGCCCTAGCAGCCACCAAGCTGTTTCCTGTCTCTGCCTCTTCCTATTCCGCTCTGTACAGTTCTTATCAAGGGGAGGAAGGGGAAGTAAAAGCGATCAAGATGTGAGATATACACATGTCCCAGTTCCCTAAATCAAAAATTAATTTTAAAAAACTTTAAATGGGCTCACACAGACTTGCATCTGGCTTCAAGGGTCAGCCCCACGGTAGCCTGGGTCAGTGTGTGTTCCTCTTCACTGCTCAGTACTATGCCGCTGGGTGGCTGCACAGCACTTGCGCATCTGTTCATGGGCTGAAGGGTCCTTGCCTATGACCACCTCTAGCCTGTCGTGAACAGATTTGGTCCCAGCATCTGTCCGCAGTGACCGAACCTCAAGGTTCTGGGGCGAGGCTACGGACCCGCATCTGATGGAGCTGGGTGTGGTGTCGGGTGCCCACTCTTCTGGGCGACGCCTGTCCGTCATGGCCTCATGGGGGGGGGGGGTCGAGCCACAGACCACGTGATTACCATGAACATCAGCAGGCCCATGAGCTACAGGAAGCCAGCTTGGGTCACGCACTGGCTCTGCAGACTCCACTCCGGACCTGTCCCACCCAGGCGACCGCAGAGGGCACTTTATCTTCCATTGCGAGGTGAGGAAACTGAGGCACGGCCAGGACACCCCTTCCTCCTTGGGGAGGAGCAGGGGTGGGGAGGAAGAGACGGGTGAGTCATCGCTAAGCCCAAACCCCCAACTCCGCAAACTCCTGGACCCGACCCCAGCCTGCATCCCGCAGGGGCTCTGGAACCTTCTAACCCTGAAAGGATCTGGGGACCCTCCGGGTCCCAGTTCACCCAGATAGAGTTTCCTCAGTCAAATGCGTCTGACAGGGCCCTCTGCCAGGAGAGTCAAGTCCAGGCTTGCAGAGCTCCTGCGGGGAGCCGGCTACCTAGCTGTGGGCCTGATGAGGTGGAGCCAAAGAGGACTAGAGTGGATCAAGAAGGGGTGTGGCTGGAAGGAGTGGTGGCAACGCGGGACGTGGCCACGATGGGGGCGTGGCCGGGAGGCGTGACTTGGACCGGAGCGGGCCTGGGGCGCTGGCTGGAGCAGAGGGGCGGCTCCAGTGGGCGTGGTCCAGCCGGGGGCGTGGCCGGCAGGCTGCCTTGGGAGACTTAGCCTGGGACACCCGGAATTCACCGCACCTGGGAAGTTGCACTGAGTGAGCGAGCCGGAGGCAGAGTCCCGCAGGAAAGTCAAAAGGCTCGGGCTCAGGCTCTGGCTCCGGTGAAAGCCCTTCCTCTTTTACTGCGGAGGAGCTGGAGGCCAGCGCGTCCGGGTGAGTTTGTGGGGGTCGGGAAGTGTGGTCAGGGACATGCGGAGTCCAGGACGGGATTGGCCATGCTCCTGAGGCCTCAGTGGGAAGCAGTACCCAATGCACCCACTGTGCGGTTCCTGGCATCCCTCCTCCTCCTGGACCGAGGCTCCACGGGGAACTCGCCAGGCCACATCTGGAGACACAGCCTGTTCCAGGTGGGAGTCCCGGCCCTCCAGGCGTGGGCAAGTCGCTTCTGGTCTCAGGACGTACCTCGGTTTCCCTTCGCGAAGACGGGCGAGGAGGTACCCAGCGCCGGC